TTCGTTGATCCTGGAGAGGACGGTATCAACGGCAGGTAGGAGAAGTTTGATATCTGATGCCATATCATAGTCATCATCGACATCTTCATCTCTTTCATCATCTTTCTCTCTTTCTTCCTCTGTCACTTCATGAGAAGGACTTGCAAAAGAAAAAGTGTGAGCTGAAGGCTCAAGGTTAGAAGAAAAGAAAGGGTAGGAAGATGGAATACCTGAGGGGCCTTCAATGACATCAAAAGGATTGTCACTGGCAGGAGCAAAGATGTCCTCGAGAGGATGGACATCCATATGTTGAGGAGCATCGAGAGGAGCAGTCTCAGGTCCAGTGGTGTATGTCTCAGTATTAGGAAGGACAGTCGATGATACATCATCGACATGTGTAAAGACCAAGGAAGGAGGAGAAAAGAAAATGGTTGAGAAGAGACGTGGGTGTTCAGCGGTGGCGGCGCTGATATCTAGTCACTGAAGTGATTGGTGAAGGTACCACTGATACGACAGTGATGGGAGAAATCACTGAAGAGCTGGGAGGGTTAACAGAAAGTGCCTCAGGGGTAAGGCTAGTTTCAATAACTGAAGCATTTTGAGAGGCCCCAGCTAGTGACATGGTTGTCCCCTTTTTGGCTTGTTCAGCTTAAGCACCAGGTCATCGAAAATGACCGCAACATAATTTATATTGTGACGCTGAATCGCATATACGCCTATGATCAAGGTGATCCTAGAGGCCTGGTCCTGACCTCCAGTTTTTCCACCCATGCACTGGATGAAATGAGAAAACAGGTATTGCCAGACGGCTGACATCCTGTTTTTCTCAATCTTCGTCAAGGATTTGAGAGGAGCACTGGAGTCCTTCTTCATTGGCCACTGGTAGTCAATGGCATCGAGGAAAGTGATGATCTCGGTGGAGGAGGGTTAACTGTCGAAGGGCCCCTTGGGAAGACGAAGAGCTGATCGAAGTGTAGAAACCCCAAAATTCACTTCCATGCGGTTGAAAGTGAAATGGATTTGCTCCATTKTGCGTCCAGCCTCGTCTTGAACTTCGACCACCTCAGCAGTGTACCAAAACTGCTGAAGAAGTTCCTTAACCATGAGGGTCTCATGGTTGAGAGCATATCCT